AGTGGTTCAACACCTGTATAATTTGAATTTACCTAGGACAGGCTGAGTTGGTCCATAACTTTTTTGAGGCAATAGTTACCTTTCCTTGGCAGAGCTGTTACCAGGCTCCAAATGTTCCCTTTCCTGATAACCCTGACAAGACTTCAAGGAATTCAGATCTTTAAGCCATCTGGATCCTCCTGAGATTTCATCACTCTTTGTCTCTGTGGGATTGTGGAGCTGTAGAAGAGGCAGGAGAGAGCACAGCTGTTGAAGAAACTCCATAGGAAAGCACTTAGAGTTGCAGTTTTCATTCAACTCTTCAGCCTGAAAACAGAAAAATCCTATAAGAACTCTTTCCACTCTCCAGAGTCTTAATAAGTATTGTTTGTTGAAGAAATAAATATGAACAAAAAATCAGTAAATATACTTGCCTGAAAACAAGGAGCATTTTTCTCACTGCTGTTTTCTTTTCTGCACTTCTGTGTGTGTACATGGTAACATGGGAACATAGACATTCAATTGCTGGTAGGTAGTAGTCCAACAGCAATCCTCTAAGCAGGCTTTCCTAGAGGAAGATTCTTTTAGGAAGCTTAAATTGGCTTGGGTGCATGCTGACTTGTTTTTTCCCCCCCTCTCATTCTTTCAATCTTCTACTCTCCTACTCCCTAACAGCCATTTTTCTGCCTTCCAGTCAGTGCATTGAACCCCACTGCTTCCCTTTTTCTCACCAGTATTTCCTCATATTTCTATTTGATCTTATACAGTTCCTCATTCCACATATTTTTTCTAACATCACTGTGCCTTTATCATCTCCCTCAGTGTCTCCATCCTCCAGCCTCTGCATATTCTCTCTCCACCTGCCTGCTCCTTTTGAATGATCTGTTCTTTGCTCTTCTGCAGGTTCTTCTTTCCCCTTTTTACCTAAGTTGCTGAACATTACCCTGCTTTAAGACAATCATAAATAACGGAAGATATTTCAATTACCTAGCTCTCTCTGTTTAGGGTATAAAAAATAGTGCTGATTTTTGGCTCAAGATAGTCTATTGTCATGCAGTGAAAAACTCCAGTATCTTATTTTTTCTGGACACCGCGGAAAAATATCCTCACAGAAATCACAAAACTTTCAATAATATTGTGCTTTGTCTCTTGGCAGTAGCTACACTTGCTGTGGCATAGAGAACTGAGAACCTAACTGAAATAAATCCTCTGTTTATATTAGCAGCAGTGCTGCAGGGAGACATGCCTTCCTTTCTTGCCCACCTTCAGAGCTCTTCTGCCCCAGTGTTGTCATGGCCCTGTCTGTGGTCAGTTCTCAGGTAGTTCGAGGCAAAAGAAAATCAGAGATGACGCATAAAAGAGGAGCATGTTTAATCTACAATTTTGTGTGTACAGTTCGGAATAGTCATAAATGTTCCATTTAATGGAAGGGCTGTAATTTTTCTTTTCAGCAAGGTGCACCACATATTTCTGCTTCAGCAGAGATTGCAATAGAAGCCGATAACAATACAGGATGAAGACTTGCAAAAATGTTTTTTTAATGTAATTTATATCATTTTCTAAAATGCTTTCTTGTTTATTCTCCCTTAGAGACATGTGAAGAAAGTGACTAATGATTCAGACACAGAGATGTGAAATATTGCATCAATAAGATTTTTTCATACTTTTTTTCCTAAACCAAAAAGCATTATCTATAAAATATGAGGCAAAGTTACCCAACTGAAAACATTTCCTTGGAAGTAATTCAGAGCACCGATAATTGTGATTAATGTGGCCTGCAAACTCCTATTGACAAGATCTTGACACAGAATCAAGCAAACAAGAAATGTGTTGGCCTTTCACTCAGCTTCCATCCTCCAGATATGCAGAAAGTGTACTTGTGGCTGCAGAGTAGCAATGCTAATAATGTTAATATTTTAAGATATTTTCATAATGCTCCATTTAGTCAAATTTATTTTATGTAAATTATTTTGCAATTTCTGTATTTCTTTTCACTTATTGTAACAAAAAACAGCAGTGTGTGTCTTAATGTAAGAGTAATTGCATTCCTTTCCATTTCCTTTGGAACTTCTTGTCCAAGTATTACAACTTCCCCATTTTCCAGTTAGTGTCATTTTTTCCTTCATCTCTTTTGGCACATTTCAGACGTAAGTGTTTTAATTCCTTCCCCAACTATACACATATTTTGGACATCTGTCTTCCATTCTCTTATGTTTGTGCACAGGTAAATAATTAATTTCCCTTTTTTTTTTGTAAATGGTCTGTTTTCCTTAAATAATATTTTCAGTCTGTGGAAGAACAGGAGTGCAGTTTCTCTTGAGAATGCTTTATGTGCAAGACAATGAACAGTGGTATCCTCGAGAGATGTTGCAGTGTTGTGCAGAGTTCTTTTCAACTAATATCTTTCCATTTATGACCAGCTTTCTGTGAAAGCACCTGATAGAAAGTGGAGGAAATTCCATGGAGAGCTCAGATATTGCTTATTGAAATCCTGCTGTTACTACCTTTTTGGGCACTCTCTTTTAAATGAGAAATATGATTCCTTACTGAAACTTACAGCCTTCTTTCCTGTCTCCTGCTCCCTTCTGGTTCCATGAATAAGTCTTTTCAAAATACTGTACATCTCTCTCCTTGGGTTGTTCAGCATAGCCCTGATCCTGATCTGCTCTTCTAAGAAGAGGTGCTTTAAAATTGAGAATCCTCAGCTCTTGAGTGGATTTGGCCTCCAGGGATGACACATGTTCATCTCCCTTGTACTCCTCCTTTTGCCATGGAGTAAAAACCTGATGAAAATTTCCTCTCCACCAAAATCCTTCTTACCTCTAGAGGCCAGACAGTCCCCATTTTGGTTGAAAGACTTGGGGACCTTGAAGGCAGAGGTGTTATTACATAAAAGTCTAAATGGAAGTATGGTGATATTAATGCAGTTCTTTCAGACACTGAGTTGACTTTTTGTAATTCATTGAGCCAAGGAATCTAAGGCAAGTTTATTTGCTTACATACTTAAGGGAAGGCCTTGAAATAGGAGAGTCTTTATGGTGGCTTTTAGGAACACATTATGTTTTCCTCTCAGAATATGGTGGAAATCTATAATTCAAGTGCCTGTGATGAGAGGCAACAATGATCATACCAGGTAAGAGAAATGAACATTCTGTCTCTTACAGAGCTCAGAAAAATGGGAAGTGTGAAGTGCATTGATTACTTGAAAAAGTACAAGTAGCATCTGTTCAGATGCATTTTTTTGTTATTCTCAGCCACTCCATGTTTTTATTGCTGATTTTGTCAAAAAACCCAAACAAGCCTTGTGTCAAAGAGGATTTGTAACAAGATATATAGAGGTATATTGTCCGAGATTTATCTTACTGCCATCAAGTATTGAATGTCCTTAGTTGGTTTCAATGGAACATCCATGCACATGCATTGTATTTAATAAAGCTCAAGAAAAAGGAAATTAAAAAAGAAAATTTTTATTTTCATGTGAAGTATGAAAAGGAGGTTTTGAAAAACATGTGAGTTATTTAGGATAAGAGTCCAACCAATGATGCTAAGAGTCCTCTGGTGTTTCCAACAGGGATACTTTCAGAGGACGAGTAGTATAGATCTTTTGGTAGGGTGGGGAGGTTCCAGCATGACTGTTGCCTGGGTAATCAAGCTGCTCTGTCCATCAGCAAATCTCTCTCCTGGGTACCACTTCATAATTTCATTGTGGTGTGCCATAGAAACCCCCATTTCTGCCTCTTCCTTTCAGACTGTGAGAATGGCCTTCATTTCTGGTCCTTTGGGCAGTGGCTGTCAGACCACTGTCCAAGGCTATCTGGCACCTACAGTCAGCCATTTGCAGTGGTATGGTGCCTCAGAAACTCTTCCCTTTGCTCTCGTAGTGATGAGAAAGTAACTGGAAAACTACCAGAGTAGTCAGTGCTGAGTTTTTACATGAATGGACTTTGGATTTCTCTAGGTCTTGTGGTTTTATTAATTATTTTTCCACCAAAGTGGTTCTGTGCTACATGAAAGATGTTCAATTAGCAGCATGCAGCAATGTAGATCAATTTGCATAGTCAATTGATATGACCAAGTTCAGATCCTTTTATGAAGAACTAGGAGGCAGTCAGAAACAGTGGAAATACTTTTTTGTCTTTCTTACTGTAGTTACATATAATGTTTGATATGGACACATCTTCATCTTTCCTAGATCAGTTGAGAGAGATGATTTGGACTAACTTGTGCCTTTACTTTCTGGGCTGTTTTCAGTTTAGGGGAAAATACAGAGGATCATGCATCACTTGGAAATTGGTTTCTGTAGGTACCTATAGTCACTTCCCTAATTAGCTGATACTGTAAGACTTGTGCTGGAAACTTCAAAGACCTTTAGTTACTTCTTATACTCAGGAAAAAGAAATTACTTAAACTAAATGGTGTAAAATCTTTGCAAAATATAACTGTTAATCCTTGTTTTCCAGAAGTACGTGCTTTTTAATGCGGATGTGGATTTTCAACCATAGATCTACATGCATGTGCCCAGAGTTGAGGCGTAGAACTAATCCAACTGTTTCTCTTAGTCTTTTAACCATAACCTGATTCAGCATGTTTGGTTTTGATTCAGAGACTGACATTTTTGATAGATGTATGTTATAATGCTCATTACTAAAGGATACTATAATTGACTGTAGAAACAGAAGTATTATGTTGTTGTTGTAATGTATCTAGTTTGAATTCACTCTGAACCTTTGCCCAACTGAAGGAACTGCAGATCCAGGACTTTGTTCAGTTCCCTTTCCCTTTGTCTTTTCTGCCCCCTTGCCCAAGTGGTATAGTATGTAAGTATTTGTTGTTAAAAGGAAAGAAAAACACATTGATAGTAATGGGACACTGAAGACTTCCTTGAAAGAACTGTATGAGGAATGACGGGTCAGCTCAGAAAGCTGTTCTCAGAAGCAAAATTGAATGTGCAGTTCAGTAGCTGAGCCACACTGTGTCACCATTGGACTTCACTTCTTTCCACTCTATCTTTCTCATTAAAGGTGAAGATATTTACAAAGCCAGAGAAGAGGGGTCTGAAATGTGGGGGGCAGTTGAAGTGCAAGAAGATGAAGATACTCTTGTGGAAGTTCCATTGGACCAGGTAGGATCAAGCTTTAAATAAATGGCTTTTTCTTTTTTCTTTTTTTTTTTTCTTTTTTTTTTCTTTCAGGCATACAGCTTAATTCTTTGGGGATGACTGTAAGCTCAACAATACTGCTTCTTTTTTGGCAGCTTTATCAAATCTCCCTTTCTGTGTTAATATGTCAAATGTCAGTTACCTCTTCATCAGCTTCAGAACTGCTCTGAGAGCTCACCTGAATTGCAGTCTCTTTATACTGGTAGAGCAGTATTCCTCCAGTCCTGGACCACAACAGGTGCTGATTTATCCAATTTTTGTTAAAGCTGACAGCACTTTGTTCTGTTGGAGCAACATGGTGCTTTGTTGGCCAATTTTTTAGTCCTAAGATTTATGTTCAATAAAAAGGTCTTGACAACTAAATATAAGATTATATCTCCCTTTTTGTACTTAGATTTACACTCCTATGGACTGAAATAATACAAGGAATATATAAATTGAACTTAAAAGTAACAGCAGTTACTATCCTTTATCTTGCTTTCAGTATAGACTTCTGTATTTGTAGGAGAAATTGGAAGAAGTGTGGTAAGTATGGGGAGGAAAATATCCTTAATGAGGGTAGGGAGTGGATTTGTGGGCTAAAAGGTAGGTGAAAAGCCATCTGGTTTGGTGAAATTTAAAAGGTCAGCTGGTTGATATTTAACTGGCACCTATTTACATATGGTGGTCCTCAGGGTTTGATACTGGATCTGAGTCATTATAGTATGTTCATGGGTAACACAGATGATGGTGTGGGACACAGTCTTATTCAGGTCCAGCTGTCATTATCAAGTGAATGTCTTTCAGAGCAATCTCAACAGCTTGAAGGAATAGGATGACTTGAGCCTCACGAACTTCCACAAGAAAGAGAGGTACAAAGTTGAGCACCTGTAGTGCAGTTAAGTCTCAGTTCAGTCTTGACACAGATGGGCTAGAAAGGAGCTGCAGAAAGGGCCATGAAGCTCCTGTGGTTGGGAAGTTGAGTCAGCAGTGCTCCCTGTGGGGATGAGGTGGAATATGCAGGCTGGGCTAGCAAAAGCACAGCCAGCACATCAAAGTCATGGATTATCTCTCTTGATCTCTGAGGTTTCATCTAGAGTATTTGTCCAGCTTTGAGTCCTTTGCAGCAGAAGAGAGATACTTAGAAACAGGAGAAAGTTCAGCACAGCAACAAACTAAAAAGTTTATGGGCTAGAGCTTATGACACAATTTAATTGCTTACTAAATAGTGCTTAATGTTTAGTTGGCTGTTTTGTTTGTTTTTTTTTTAATTGATTTGTATTGTGTAAAAAAATACTAGCCATATATACCTTTAGCTTGTATTCTGCTTTTAAAAACAATACCTGAGGGGAAATAGATGTTGTATGAACTTATTAGCCACTTTGAAAATTGGCACCATACAATCTAAAAAAAAGATAGATTTTATCTTAGGCTCCTGTTGCTAAGAAGGATCATTCTCATTATTTATTCACTTCAATGGGAAGGAATGTTGCTCAGCTATTTTATAGGTATTGTTCTTGAAGACACATGAATCAGGGCTCATCAGCCCTGTTAATTGTGGTTGTCCTGGTGGGGTGTGGTGATAATTAGGATGTGTTGTGTTATGTTGATAGCACTGACATTGGGGAAGAACATGCCGGCTGTTGTCTTAGTCTTTGTTTCTTATATCATTCTGTAGCACATCCTACTCTGGTCTTGACAGTGTAATAATCAAATTCAGAAATTATTAGCCTGTTTATTGGCCTCTGGAGGTGTGTAAAGAATTCCTCTGGGTAGTGTAGAACATTTGGCTGTGTAAATTGGGTTGTCAGGCCTTAGTTTTTAGGCTGACTGCAATTCATATGAAATCCAACCCTGGACTGGTTGGAGAAGTAAGACAGCTGCCTTACTTCTCCACAGAGGTCCTACAGCACAGGCAGTAGCTCTGTGTGTCTCACCAGTTTGCCTCTGCCCATGAATGGTGACCATCCCTAGGGAGGGCAAAACCTCTCTACTACCACTTCTCTGTTTGGCAATGGAACTGTTCACACGGTTGCCAGTGAGCATCAGATGTGTTGGCAAGCTTGCAATGCTAGGAACTTGCTGAATACCTCTAAGCTCATGTACCAAGGTCCATTCATCATGTTCAGATGGAAATATTTTTCACTTGCTACCAACAGATTTTGCTATCTATCAGACAAGGAACTGCAAGCAGGTGTATTTGATGGGGAAAAGATATTTAAAAAATCAGTCATACACAATCTGATTTCTACGTTTCCATAAAAGCCAAACAAAGCACCAAAATTTATTGCAAAAGAAGCCATGGTTTATACATAATGTTAAAACTTCATGTATAGTTTCCTTGGTAATCTCACAAGAAGCCATGTCCTTCTGAGTATTCATGTGTGAGTGCTTTCTATTCCCAGATAACTAAGGTCTCTCTAACCTTAGAAGAATTTAGCATTTTGTATATTCAGGTTCATATTAATGACTATTTAAAATTGTTTTAAATTATATGATGTAAAGCTTTTTAGCTTTTTCTTATCTGCACTGCAGTGTCTGTTATTGGTAGAAATATGGGAAAGGACAGCCAGACAGGGCTTGACTATCTTGCATAATGCATAAATATTTACATGCCAGCTTTCACTAGAATGCTGACACTTCTGATAGGCTATCATTTCCATCAGCCACATAAATGAGGTGGTGAAGATAGAGCTTCATATTTTTTTCTTTTTATGCACCTTCTCTGTCTTGCTGTTTGAAATACACAGTTGAACAAATGCCAGATTAGCCATTAACTAAACCTAGCGTTATACTGGCTAGACTCTCATTTATGTCCTGTTCTGTAAAACGCTATCGGCTAGCTGAAAACACATTAAAAGAACAGGGTTTGCTTTACTCCAGACTAGCTGACAGTTGTAATTGAACATCAAAGAAGAAAAAAATGAATATTTTGCCTTAAACCAAACCAGACCTTTCTGTTCTACATTCTTTACCAAGACTTCAGCTCCCAAATACAAAATGATTAGTTTCTTCTTTTGACATACAGGCTTACTTCAGGTTGGTTGTTTGCATCACTGTGTCAACTTTCATGGGGACTGATGACAGACTATGAAATCAGTTGTGCAAATAGCAAGGGAATAACAGAGAGACAGTGAAACAATAGTAGTTTCTTACTGGAGATAGTAATTAAGTGTGTTACTTTGAATTTGCTAGTAATAATGCAAATATATTCAAAGTAACTTTGAGAGAAAAAATTCTACCTTTAAAGCTTTCAGAAAATCCTACTCTTTTTTTTTCATACTGTGTAAGTTCTAAAATACAAAAGCAGCAATTTCTAGTGATAATACTGAAATAACATTGCATGTTTGCACTTGTTTATCCATTTCCATAAGCATGGCTGTATTTCCTTGCCAAGCCCTTGGGAGTAAGCAGGAGAGTTATGAGACCTGAAGTACCCAGTGTATGACCCCATAAGGAATTCGTGTTGTGCCAGCCTGGTTTGCCATGGGGTATATGATACTGGCTATTAAGATGTGATGTAGAAAGAGATTCCATTTAGCTTTTGGTTTGTTCTTTGGGTTATTTCCCCCTCTAGATTCCTCATCTGGTTCTCTCCTTCTATGTTTATTTCTAAAAAATAGTTGTTGATAAATTTATGTAACAGGCACTGGTTTGGACTTTTTCTGTAGATGTTCACATTCTTGGTTCTTTCATTATCCATTTACTTTCCACTTTTACAGACATATCCACTGATTAATGCAGTCCTCCATTCATTATTTCGCATTTTCTGGGCTGTGATGTGATGTGAGATTGTGTATCTCCCCTAGGTGAGCTGGAGCTGGAATATATCATCAGTAGCAGAAAATTTGCACCTTTCATTTGCAGTTTTCATTATGGAGTACACATTTTGCATTAGAGACCCAAGATTCACCTCAGTGAGCAGAATAAAATATTTATCTTCCTCATTGCCAAAGGCAAAATGTTAAAGTTTATGTTGATTCAACATTACAAGAAGCTGACTTCTTGAAGAGACATTCTTTGATTAAAAAGGCTACAATATTTCACGAGGAAACATTTTGTACTTCATCAGTAAGAATTTCAAAATGGCATTTGAAAAGATTGCATGCAGAACTTCTTATCCTCAAATTTTGCTACAAGTGATGCAGCTGTAATTTAAGCCTTATGAATTTGGAATGCTGACAAGCCAGCAGATAATATTTTCCACTGCATGTTCTTCTTTCAGCTCAACTGATTTACACTTAATGTTGTTATTGTTTGTCTGTGTGAGATAGGAAAACTTACTCTGATTGGTTCCTTGCAGTTCAGAATGAGAAGGGAGCTCTTTCCTTGGTTTCTGTGGTGCCTTGAGAAGGCTGACCAAGAACAGAGGCTAGACAGAGTTAAAGAATAAAGTAAGTATTTATTAAAAAGCCTTAATAGATACACCTTAGGCTCTACAAGAGCACTTTCTCAAGGCATCATTGGGTGACTGTGATTTATGAAGTTGTAGTAGCAATACCTGACCTTGTCTTTAAAGGTCAGGCATCTGTGTGGCCAATAGTTGAAGGGCCTTCACTTTTTCTGAGTGAAGTGCAAATCTCTTGTAAAACTAGTTTTGATACCACTTTGAAAAAAGTTTCCTCTGTAACCCTGTTTTAAAAAAATTCAGCAATCCTAGAGCAGGCAGTTTCTCAAATTGCATAGCTTATTTGCTTTAAATTGTATTTTTTCAGTCTCAGTAGGACACTTTTAAAAATGCTTAACAGTGTTCTCATTATCTACAGGTATGCTCAACAGATCATACTATATTATAGGAAGTGAAGTTTAGGCAAATTTTATTGAAAATTTGCATGCAAAACATTGTGGGGAAAAATAAATGTAAGCATCATTGAAGTAGATGGGAAAAAGTATTTTTTACTTAGTAACATATTAGAGAATGTTTTTCCAATTTTATTATAAGATCATAAAATCTTTGAATGGTTTAGGTTGAAAAGGACCTTAAT